CAGCGGAGAGGCTCAGAGCGCTTTGGACTCGAGTTAAGAATTTGATGGATGTTGACACTTTAGTGATTTGAAAAGGAAATGAGGGGATCTGGGAAAAGGAGACGCCTCTTGCGCGTCTGGGAACAGTGGCAGTTGAAGCTGTTGGTTTCCCGCTCCTTCCCCGCGTTAGCCTTCAGCTCCCCCCAGCTCTTGACAGAGAGCCACGCGGCCAAGCGCGGGCCGGGCCCGCAGGCCGGCGGCTGAAGGGAAGCCCTCCTCCCCTCCCCTCCCCTTCCCGTCTGCAGCCTCTGCTGGCTCTCATCACGTCACCGTAAGTCGCTCCTTCCCAGCGGTTCCTGAACTGTGCGGAAATCACTCTGCGGCCAGCCTCCAGTTACTGTTCCCTGACTCACTCTGCAGGCATAGGATTTGTCACTTTCAATTTGTTTCCTTTCTCTCCACCTACTTTGGGCAGAATATTTTATTAAACGATGCATTTCCCCCCAAAGCGACTCTTGTTTCAATGCCAGAGGTATTTAAATGCCCTCGTATTGAACTGCGCAATCGAATTATGTAACTTAACGGTGAGTTTAGGGAAGGAACAGAAAGACACCGCACCCAGCCTCCCCGTTTGAGACTCGGGGCTCTGAACGGCCCTGAAGCCCGGCCTCTCTCACTGCCGCTCCTGCGCCAGGAGGCTGCTCGTCTCCGGGCTTATTGGCAGCGAACGCTGCGTAACAGAGAGGCCAGAGGCGCCCGAGGCTCCATCCGAATCCAGTCACTTTAGTCCCTGTCATTGTGCCAGGAGCTTCTAACGGTTAAATTGGTTCCTGATTACTTTCCGCTGGCTAAGTCCCCTCCACTCGATGAACAGATAACGATGTAGGATGGCGCTGCGTTTATTGCCCTGGACACGCTCCTTTCCACTGGGCAGATGCTGGGGGGGACGGTCCTTCTTGTACGTGACAGCCAAGGCTGGCGGGACCCCCTCTGCACAAGGCCGCAGGTGCAGGGCGTGGCGCCTCCTGCAGGCAGAGCCTCCCCACACCCCAGCCTGTCTCCTAAAGGTGGGCGAGGGGTGGAATTCATGGGGACGCCTTCGCTTTCTGCAGATGCGACAACGTTTTGTAAAGTGTCAGCAGAGACGATGATGCTGGAATGACTGTATTTTGTGGCATTCTAACCTTTAATCTCACAGTTTAAAAAAATATATTCCAAAAACCCTTCGATTCACAGTTCAAGGGAGCTGAGAGACCCCATAGTTTTTATTTCTTGGTTGAAAATATGAGAATCTCAGCAACTTTCTGAGAGCAATAGCTAAATGATTACATGGTAGGTAGATAGATCGATACGTAGGTAAATGGTAGGTAGCTAGAGAGATGATTAATAGAGAGATGATAAAGAAAGAATTGGAGTAGGACTGTAACCGTGTGTGTGTGGTGTGTGGACAACAATTAAACTCATTTTGGACACCAGAGGGAATTACGGGGCAGCATTTTGTTTTTAGTGGGAGCTCCTTGTGGTCCAACGTTCGGGTAGAAGAAGAAATCAGGGAAATATCCTGGTTTTTGGTTTGTTTGTTTTTAATTTTATGAGCTTCGGGAATGAACTCTCCCCGTCTCACAGTGAACCCAAATTACTTAAAATGGTAACGTGGGGGCTGATGGAGATGGTGCTCTGACTCCCTGGAGTCAGGAGTCAGTGACCAAGAAGGGGGCGAGGACATTGTTTGCACGAAAGGCTGGCCCTGAGCTGTGTTAAGCCAGGTCTGACCCTCGCTTCAGAATAGCAAGGCCTCCTGCCGCCGTTTGGCCTTCGCCTGTGGTCATTTTCTTGTTCCTGCGACTGAAAGCGGGTTGTGTACAGAAGCTTCTAATGCGATGTCCTCACTCACTTTCCCAAGTTTGAGGTGTATTAGAACTCACTCAGGAATGGCAGCAGGCAATGCAGAGTCTGCCTTGAAGAAACCTGCCTAGGTTTCTCTTTGCCTGGTCGGATCATCGATTTACCGTCAGGCGGCCTTGCGGCCTTGCCGAGTCTGGAATCCCATCGAGTGTGAACCGTGGGGCCTGGCCACGTGTCCTGGACGGTTCCGTGGAGGCGACGTGGCCTTGACGCATCGAGCCCGCGCCTTCGCTCCCCTTTGTCTGCTGCAAGGACTGCAGTTTTCGTTTGATCTCCCCTTTGGTTCCCCCTGTACAGCTCCGTTCTCTGTTATTTGGTTTTTTCCCGGCTTTTTAAAAGCTTTATGGTGAATCTGAATTACAGAATCTCTCTCGATGCCGCTCTGGCTCTGTGGTCAGTTCATGAAGAAGTGTTTCATCAGCCTTTGTGTTATTTTGGCGCATCATGTTTTTTTAAAAGTCACTGGAGCCCGGCCGGGCTTGGCTCAGCAGTTGAGCGTCCACCTGGGATCCAGGCGATCAGGGTTCGATTCCCGGTCAGGGCACATGCCCGGGTTGTGGGCTCGATCAATGACTCTCTCATCATTGATGTTTCTGTCTCTCTCTCTCCCTCTCCTGTCCTCTCTCTGAAGTCAATAAAGATATATTTAAAAAAAAAAAAAAAGTCATTGGAGAAATATCTTTATTTAACCGGCTGAAACTGTTCAGTGCTTAATTAGGGGTGGCATGTTGCAGCCGTTTGAATGCTATCTGGAGGCAGAATAATTACCCTGTGGTAATCACGCGTGTTTTAGTAAACTCGCTCCTACCGCAGAGGGCTGGAGAGGGTCTTCCCTAAACTCACGAGGGCCCTAGGGTGCTCTAGGGAACAGCAAGCTCTAAAACTGGAGGGAAAACTGAGGACAAAAAAATGGGATGCAGCCATTAGCCTGGTGTTTCGTAGTGACAGGAAGCTGTCCTCTCCCGCTGTCACTCGGGGATCTCTGCTGGTTTTAATGCAGGGCTGTCGGAACGCAGTTGCCGAGGTCACTTGGGCAGGGCAGACCCCCCTCCTTAGCCAGGCATCTCGTACTTCTGGGGCTGAATGTGACAGAGGAGACCTCAGCCCGAGACTGGGGGGCTGCCCAGGGCTGCCCGAGGTTCTGTGTTTACAAAACATGCCCTGAATCGAGTGTTTTCGTCCTGGTCCTGAATTCATTTTTCAGGATGCCCTAAAAGCCCGATATTTAGCTTTTTCACTAAATTATAAAACTCAGCAGTGAGAGCTGTTTTTCAAGTGTAACTGGGCGTCCTGTATTTGCAGAGTGGCCACCCTCTGGCTAATGGCCGCTCTGCCCAGTCTGTGCTCTTGGTTAATGGACACAGTCTGGATCCCTGTGTCCCTTGATTAGCAGTCAAGCAAGACACGAATTCCTCCTTTCTGGTTATAGTCACTGTCCCCAGAGAAGAACTCGGGTAACTCCGTCTAGGGTTTTCTCCAGCAACGGAGATGGCAAACCCTGTCACAAGCCATTCGTCACACCTGTCGTGGTCCCAGATGCTGTCTGCAAAGCCCCTGTCTCTGAGCTGCACACATTGAGTGTGAGAGGGACTGCAGTGACCGTGGGCGTGCGGTGGCCGGGCGTGGTGGGAGGTTGCGGAGCCCCCGCTGGAGACTCCCTTTCTCCCTCCTCCCAGGCTCACTGGCCCTTAGGGGCTCTGGGATGGCCAGGGAGGCGGAGCCCTCAGGCACGGGCCTCTCTGCAGAGCAGGGGTCCTAGTAGGTGACCCAGATTTCTCCCACGAGCTCTGGCCGCTTCCTAAGTAGAGGGAGTGTAATGAACTTTCATCGTCTGCGACCTCCAGCTTATTACTCTTGCACCTCCCTTTGT